CCCCCCCCCCCCCCCCCCCCTCCTCTTCTTCTCTTCTCCTTAGCCTTTTCAGCTCAGGGCTGTGAATGAGTCCCAGGAGTCTCTCTGCCTCCCTGGAGTTCTGCTGGGGTTCATTAATCTTTCATTGGGACCATGGCAATAGGGAATGCCCCCCCCCCCCCCCCCCCTCCCATTCTCCACTCCCCCACCACTGCCACTACAGAAAAGAAGTCTAGATGGCCAGGCTTTTACGGACCATACAAATGGACAGCTTTAACTACCCAGTGACAATTTAGTAGGAGCATGTACTGTTTGTGTATGAAGCTCTTGCGCGGGGCCCGATATTAACTTTGGCCTCTTGATTAGTTTGCAGCATTAAGTTCTGCTCACATTTGTCCCGCCTTGGGCCCACAGCTTTGCATTTGTATTGTCAATGAGCGTCGGGCAACCGAGCGTCATTTGTATGTATGCCCCCCTGCCAACATCTAGTCCCATTAATGTTTTTCAAAGTCTTTTGGAAATGCGCCACAGTGGAGCGCTTTTTTTTCTTCTTCTTTCTTGCATGGGTTAAAGTCGCTAATGAGGGTGTGTGGCCTACGAGAGCAGATCGAGCACACGCACGTATATATACACACACACACACAAGCAGCTCTCCTGCTCGCCTCGCCTCTCCCCCTGAACATATCATCCATGTTATGATAAGCCTGATTAGTGCTGCTTCTTTGACTGCTGAGGGCAGGATAAGGATGTGTGGGTAAAGAGGCGAGAGCAGCCTCTTCCACCAGCCTAATCTACAGCAGAGCTCTAATCTGGTTATTTTGTGGTCGGGGGACTGTGTGTGTGTCTGTCTCAGCCCGGCCTGATGAGAGGGGCTGAGCTCCGGTTAACGCAGGGGCCCACGGCAGCACACCCCAAAGCTCCACTGTAATCTTTGGGTAATTGAAAAAAGGGGGCCTGCACCACTTAGGAGCACAAAGAGAAGATTACATAGCTAAAACTAATTTGGCAAAAATGCAGAAATGGATTTTCAGCCCCACCTCCTCTCCACGAACCCTTTTATTACAATACACCCCTACCCTCCGTGAACCAGTCCCTGGGGGAATAGATGATGGAAGGGGAGCGAGGAAGAGGGGAGACCAGGAGGAGGCGAGCAGAGCGCTGACTGGAGCTGCTAATGACTGTGGATTTACACACGTTGCCTTGATTTTGTGGTTTACAGATGATCGATTACTTGACTGCAGCCGTGGTTGAAAGTGCCTCATCACACATCAGACCCAAATGTGAACTGGCAACCCCCCAAGCCTCTTAGATTGTGTTACAGAATTCTAGGGTGACACCACAGAAGTGTTTTTAATTACAAACCACACTATTTCCACTGTGGCTTTGCAGTTTGGCGCCTCGAGAGCACCGTGAATTTTGATGGCTCTTCTTTCAGACCAAGTTGTAATTCTGTGTGCAGGCGCCTGCAGTCTCTAACCCCCGAACCCAAATATTAACACCATGGCCTCTTTTTCTTTCCCCCCTTTCTGTCTCCCTTCTTCTTCTTTCTCTCAGTCTAATAAGGTTCCAGTGGTACAGCACCCTCACCATGTGCACCCTCTCACGCCTCTGATCACCTACAGCAATGAGCACTTCACACCGGGGAACCCCCCACCTCACCTACAGACAGAAGTGGATCCCAAAACAGGTATTTTTCCGCTGAGTATGTGTATATTTTTAAATTTAAAGTCATGCTTTTTGATTCCTGCTACAAACACCTTTTAGTAAACAGTACAGTGTGTTTTAAAGGTGTCTTGATGAAACTTCTGAACACCCCGATACCTTTCAAAGAAGTAGAGAAAAACAACAGAAGCAGTTCTCCTCATATAAGGGCGCTTCAGCTCGTAGAAAGTGTTTGCACTGATGGGTGTGTAAATGTTTTATTACGCCCTGCCACCATGGTTCTCATGCACAGGACTTTGTTTGTCTTGATGGCGTCTGTCTGTCTGTCTGTCGGCACACTCTTGTAAAAACAACTCAAGATTAAAAGATAATTCAACTGTCATATTTGCATTAAAGGTATTCTATAAAGTAGGCTGTCTTGTTAAACCTACTATCCTCTGTTAACAAGACTGTGGTAGTTAAAGTGAGACAAAGTCACAGTCAGCTTAAGTACTTCTTGTTGACAACTGCGGCTCATCGGTTACCGATGGGTTTGGCGATGGCGCTCATTAACGTCGTTGGGCCTCAGTGGAAAAGTGGTCTTACATTGGAAAACAAGAACCTGAACAGTGGCTCATAAACCACCTCGTAAAAACATGGAATTCAGCAAACCACCAGGACTTCTTCATGGCCGCAACCCCATTTGACAGCCACTGTAGTTGGAGGTCCTCGCATCTTAAATACCAGAGTTCTCACGATAGTCGGCTCGGAATGATGTCTTCAACTTTAGTGTGGAAAAATCCTCGAAATGGAAGACGTGACCCCGAGAATTTGGATTCATACAGTTTCTTGATGATCGACCGTCCACGTTTAGAAGTCAGATTCTGCCCACACACCTCTCCCACAAACGTTCAGCACACATATTTAGGCAATTCCATCCAGCTCTTCATTCTTGTCAGCCAATCCTTTCAGGTTAATGCATTTTCAGTGCGAGGAATAATTTCATTCTTTTCAGTGGTCTCTGGTGGACTCAGTCAATGTTTTAGGTAATAATGTTCCCTTATTATGATGGTCCTTACAAAGGGGAAATAATGTGCCAGCTGCTGTTTAATGTAGTGCTTAATAGGGCTGCTTAATTGGGCTCAGTGTTTAATTAATTAATGAGCTATATTAGGTCTTCAGCGCTGGGTGGCGATGGGATAATCTTTGAAAGGCTTTCCTTTCTTAATAGAATTTGCTTTTGTAATTTGCTTTTTTGTACTCCGAGAAAAAAGTTTGCCATTGAGAGACAAACTGCCGCGCAGCACGTTGTCCATCGGTAACAGAATCCCCCCTTTAAAAGTCAGTTTCTGGATAACCTGGATCCGCTGCAGAGCTTGGGTGTAACCGCCAACACCGTCCAAGTTCTGCTCTATGAAGATCGATCTGTTCTACGTCGGCCGTGTTGGCACGGGTCAAAATATCCGCGACAACAGCTGCACGGGGCGAGCCAGCTGTGTGAAAGAAACGCACATCAGCCAAAATGAAAAGTCTCCCACTTCCTGAGCGCACACACCTCCCTGCTGTGCTTTTACACGTGTCTAGTGGTCCCTGTTTTAAGTTCGCCATGAGAGAGAAAGTTATTTTTACACCCTTGCTGTGTACGAGACCTTTTCAAGGCATTCATTAAGGGCAGCTTGTCGATGCAGTTTCTTAGCCCGTCAGCTGCCACAGAAAGCAAAAGCAACACCGTGCGACGCTGTGATTGCGCGGCGATCCCTTCAGCGCGAGCTGTCCTTAAATTTGGACATCTTTGTCACTGTTCGTCTGTGGGGGATAACAAATATAATGTTAAATCTGAGGATCAGCTGGGATGAATGGAGACCAACGAGCCAATACATACGCTCACATTGTCATTAACTGTGTGTCATTCTAATAATGGCTTTTTCATGTACAAAATCGGGTAGAACCCATCCAGCCAGTGAGTCGGTGTAAATCAGCCTGACTCAACCTGGAGCCCTGTATTAGCCCCTCTCTGATCACAGAGAAGGCTTTAATTATATTGTTGTGTTTTGTTAACTTCAGTCATTTTATATAATTAATCCTCTGAATCCGCAGACAAATGTGACGAGAAGAATCGTGTTGGTATTCTCTCCTCACCTCTCTCCCCTCTGCCTCTACCAACGCATTGTGCCGCCGCTGCCGCCTCAAAGGCCTTTGATCAGGAAGTGTGATTTAGCACCGTGTACATGCGAGCAACAAGCCCTCTTCCTCCTCCTCCTCCTCCTCATCCTCCCATCTGCACCCCTGTGATGTGTGTGCCCCGTTCAGATGTGAAACTCTCAACAAAGAACGAATTCAGCACCGACAAAGATTTGGTTCTCTCTCTCTGTCATCATCCTGTCTGTCCACCTCCTCCCTGCTCATGTCGTCCTCCTTTCTTCCACAGGAATCCCAAGGCCTCCACATCCTCCAGATATATCTCCTTATTACCCGCTGTCACCTGGCGCTGTCGGCCAGATCCCCCATCCGTTAGGATGGCTAGTACCACAGTAAGCGAACCCTTTTTTATTTACTCTTTCTACTGCATTCTCTCATGGGTTTTGTAAAAAAAAAAAAAAAAAGGCTAGCAACACCCACCTATTGTCACGATTAATAAACTGTATATAAATCCAGATCGTTAACGAGAGAAACGGCAAACAATAGCAGCAGGATATTGTTCTTTATGTACACAAACTCAATTATGGAAGCTGTCTCTGTCTCCTTTCGGTCCCCAGGTGGGTCTTCTCTCTCTGTTTAAGGCCCCTAAAACTCAAAATGGATCCCTTAACTTTCTGATACACTCACTCCTGGACCACAGCAGCCCATTGCAGCTTCCTCAGGCCCTCCACCAACCTCAACTTGCCAAATACTATTTTGCATGTCTCTGTAAGGTCCAATTAGAGTAATGAACCGCGATTGCCCGTATTTTACCCACAATTCCACACGGGGGCTCTCCCCTGGTAACTCTTGTCAACACTTGTTAATATGACAAAAGGCTACAAATTAAGCTCTGTTAATTTAATGTTTTCTCACCGCGATCTAAATACCGAGAGAGGCCCCGAGCACAGCCATGGCGCCCTTTGATTTGCTGCACTTTATTTTGGTATAAATTTACATTCATTATTGTTTGTCTTTGGATGTGTAGACCTCAATTAGCGTGATGGCTCCATTAAAGAGACCCGCGCTTCGTCTTTAATTATCACAACAAAACACCTAGTTCCAGCTCGGGGAGGAACAGGGCCCCGCTCTGTCGACACCGAGGGAAGGGTTATGAAATTTAATTAGCCATCGCTATCAAGATTTGTGGCATTCAAATTGTTCAGAGTTTTCCTCCCTTTGATCTACGCTCTGCAATCCCCTAGATTTTTGTCCTGATCAAATGAGAATAAAGAGGCCCACGGTGGGGAGAGGAGAGGGACAGAGGGCTTTAACTTCTCCTCTTCCATCAACCCTGTTCCTTTACCTTTTTGCCTTTCTTCTTTTCTTCCCCCCTTCCCAGGCAAGGTCAACCTGTTTATACAGGGGGTTTTAGACACCCCTACCCAACTGCGCTCACTGTCAACGCATCCATGTCAAGGTGAGTTGAGACCTAGGAGCTAAACACACTCACACACACACACACACACACACACACACACACACTTACTCATACCTTCAGTTGTGCGTCCGTGTGTGTTTGTGTTGGCTGTGAGGGGCAATGCACAAGCAACACACATGCACGCTCGCATGCAGAGACGGCGAGCAGCAACTTCTCCCCTTAAGGAGAGCTCACACTCCACATCCCTGTGTTCAAAAGGCCAATTCTCTAGTGCGGGGCTCCAGCTAGCATGCTCAAATATTAATTATATTTATCATTTTCTAATGAGGCCCCTGAAGAACATTTACCCCCACTGCATGTCAGGCAGATCTGAAATGAGCCGGGGCATGTCCATGCTGTGAGTTTGAGCAGCCAGACAGATAAACAAACACAGCAACACTTTGATGGGGACTAGATGAGATATATACGCCGTGGCCTGACACTTGGCGCTTTGGTCCAGCCCATTAGGGTCCAGCTCAAGTGCTGCTGTGGACATTCGTGCACCCATGGGGGGTATGTGTATTTGTTGCCATCTTGTATACATGTGTGTGTTTGTCAGTCGGTGTTAAACTACTTACTATTCCCTCGAGGGATGTGTGTCCTCTATATTGTGTGGGAGGCGAAAATAATTAATTTTAGATGACTAAAAGCCCTAAAAAGCAACAACACAAAAACAAACAGCTTGCCACTCCACTCCCTCCTCCTCCTCCTCCTCTACACGCCCTTGCAGCAGGGGACTATGAGCCGGGCTCGTGTAGAGTCGAGGGATGAGGCCAAGCTTCAGTATAATTACAGCCTGATTGGAAAAGCAGTTCCTGAGGGCGGCGTGTTTAGACCTGTGTGACATTGATGGATCATGTAGATGCAGGGACGGAGGAGACGCAAGGGGGACATTTTTTAAAGCGCAGCCCTGAGAATACGGGGAAAGCTGAGTTCGTAAGCTCACAGACAAGACAGTTCAGTTTTGTACCATTAGTCTTTCAAATATAAATACCTAATTGCATCAAATTCATTCTGGAGATTGGTGTCTGGATTAGAGTCAGATTCGCCCCTCCCAGAAAAAGTCTCAGGTGCAAAGGGTCGGACAATGGGTTTGTCCAGACATTGGCATCTGGCAGCGGTACCCAGCCAACCTGGGCTTTAAGTGACTGCTAATTTGGTCCCTTAATGACAGCCTCTACATTGTGATCATCTTATTTCCAGTGGAGCTAATTGAATATACTGGCTGGGGTGTGTGTGTGTGGGGGGGGACTGGCCATGGGGAAGAGCTAATGCCCTGTGATGAGGCCCCCTAATTGAATTAGTATAACTGAATAGAGGGAGGGCTCTGGGAGCTCTCTGGAGAATGGGAGGGTTTAACACATCTCCCATTGAAAAATCTAAAGTCTGTTTTGAACAGGACAGAGCAAATACATCAATTTGTTGACAAAATCTAGCAAGAAATCTGTCTAATTGTGTCAGCAAAATGGCAGAATCCTTTCATACATAGCCTCCAGCCAGTCGGTTTTGTTCAAAGAATGGACTCGACTGTTGTGATAGCTCAAACGATTTGTAAGGAAGCAGGCTGACTGGATGAAATCGGAGAGAAAAGACACCCTGGCCTTGTACTCTTGTCGGGAGTCAGTCCTTCGCAGGAGTGCGCTGCTTCGGTATATCAGTCCCCTGTGCCGTAGCTCGCAGCTCGCAGCTCGCATTAGGATGCAGGAAAGGAATCTGCAACCTCGTAGTCCTGCAATGAGCACCTTACACCTAGGTCCTGTTAAAAAATGCATTCTTTTAGGACATGAGGGGGAAAAAAGCCAAGGAGAGTAGAGACAGTCAACGGAGCAAATGAAAGACATTATTTTGATAATGGGGTTGGTGCCAGCGCAGGTCCCCGATATAGTGTGTGTGTGTGTGTGTGTGTGTGTGTGTGTGTGTGTGACAGGTAGGAGGAAGTGAAGGCCCCTTTGCCCCTTATGCTTAAGCCTGCCCTTTGATATGTTCCCCCATCATCGTGCTCCCTCTCTTTTCCTTGGGAACGGGAGAAGCGCACCGTCCGGATCATTATACATTAAACAGGCACCGGGGCTATTGCTTCGCATTGGCAATTAAATGGCACTGGCTGACACTAGGCTTGCTGTACCAGTGACCCCCCCTCACCCCCTCCCCAACACCGCTAGCCATTCTTACCTTTTAGATTGAGACGTAGAAGCCCCAGGGTTGGGGCGGGTGGGTGGATGGGTGGGGGTCTCTGCTGCGTCTCCTTCTCTGTGTTGGTTAAATTGGTCCAAGGCGCGGCTTGCTGCTGATGAGCCCGGATGACGATGATGATGATGCCCCCATGCTTCAAAGGGACGGCTGTCATGTTTAAACCATAACCTGGGCCATGCAGTGGCAGCAGCAGGAGGAAGGGAGGGGGGGAAGAGAGGAAGCGAAAGGAGCGTGGAGGTGGTGAGGGGACTGGGAGGAGCAGAGGAAAAGAAGAAGAAGGAGGAAAAAAATAGAACTTGGAACAGAGGAAATTTTAACAAGTGCACAGAGAGAGAAGGAGGGAGGGTGAACAGGGAGAGAGGAAACGGAGTGAGTGAGGAAAATGCAGCAGCCCTAATGATGGGCGATATGCAGCCACTGCTGCCGAGCTCCCCATCAACGGATGACATGGCACAAACACCAATGTGTCAGTGATGAAGGGAGAAGAGGGGAAAGGAGAAAAAGAGGGAAAGAGTTTGAGGCGGAGCGCACTGGCACTCCCCTGAGATGGCCTCCAACAGAAAGTAGTTGTTCCTGGCGAGTTTATCCTCATCATTATATTCTGGCTCGGAGCCATGCAGCCAGACACAGCCAGATAATGAGCTGCTTTAAAAAAAGAAGAAGAAGAAGAAGAAGAAAAAGAATTATTCCTCCTTTTCTCCCTTCTCCTTCATCCTCCTCTCTTCTTAAATGTGTGTGTGGTCAGGTGGAGCCGCGCTTGTAAACACACACGTGCAGATAAGACGCGTACACATTGAAATAATCTTGACACAAATAATTATGGTCATACATACATGGGCGCACACGGCCAATGAAACAATGTCATAAATACGGGTTTCTGGCCTCGATGTGCGGAGCGGTTGGAGACGATGAAATGATGATCGGAGCGTAGAGCGATGAAGATAAAAAATGTCTGTGCTGCTGACAATGCTGAACTGGCAGAAAAATACGAGGGAGGAAGCAAATAAAAGACCCAATACCTGAAGTGATACTAGACTTTGATCGAACATTTTACTCTAGTTTGCAATATTCCTTGATAACACATAATGGTTCAAGCTTTACTCCTCCAAAACCCAGCGTGTTCATATCAGCGCTGAAATGCTAAAAATGCAGTTTCCTCAAATATACCAATGACTTGAAGTTGTGCAGTTGGCATTTGTCATTTTCTACGCCTGAGAAGTGCTTTATTGGTCTCGGCTCCAATAAAAGTTTTGGATGGCACTGATATATTCAGCCTGCACAGTCTCTCCTTAACTATGAATAGAAAAGTGCAAGGTGCTTAGAGCCCTCGAGCCCTCGGACACTCTTAAATATCATTTTAAAAACTCAATGAGGTTGTGATTAAATAAAGGTGAAGAAAAGCACTTTGGTTTCTTCCAAAATGGCATTCAAGAGACTCATCCTTGTACAATTGCACTTAATTATTCCCACACAATATAGCGGTCATGCTTCCAAGTTGTTTTTTTACTGATGATTTGGTGAGGATTTGTCATAACTTGCTGTTATACTTGTGTGTAAAGTGTATAGCTGCACTCAAATTATAATTGTGTGACATTTGATTTAACTATAATTTGCAATAGTAGAATCTATTATAACTGATTGTTTAAAAAAGATATAGCCTTGGACATTTTATCGTGGATGTTTGTATATGTGCATGCGTGTCTTTTCTTGTAGCTAAAGGCCAATTCCATTTCTAATAAATGTAATAATCCCTTTGTACTTTGACATGTCATTGAAAGAGGGAAATGGAATTTAGCCCCTTTAGTCCTGTGTATACATGTGTTCCATCTCCTCATTTCACCCGTGTCCATTCTGACGATTTACACAGTCTTCTGTCCTCTAGGTTCCCCCCACACATGGTGCCCCCCCACCACAGTTTGCACGCCACGGGCATCCCACACCCAGCCATCGTCACACCCAACGTCAAGCAGGAATCCTCCCACAGCGACATCTCTCTCAGCTCGTGAGTTGACCTTTACTGCACTACACACGTTTCAGCCTCACGCCACTCAAAAAGCAGTCGTGGGTTTACTCCGCTCACCTCTCAGCCCTCTGTTTCTCCACAGGAAACAGTCCGACGCTAAAAAGGAAGAGGAGAAGAAGAAGCAGGTCCACATAAAGAAGCCTCTGAATGCCTTCATGCTTTACATGAAGGAGATGCGGGCCAAGGTGGTGGCTGAGTGTACACTGAAGGAAAGTGCTGCCATCAACCAGATCCTGGGGCGGAGGGTAAGAATCACAGATCACAGCAGCGCTGTAATGATCAAACTGAAGGATGTATCGCACAGTGCTGTAGAGTTAAGTTCATTCGTGGTAAAAATCTTTCTATGTCTTCTCCCTGTGTTTTACAGTGGCACGCCCTAACGCGGGAGGAGCAGGCCAAGTACTACGAGCTAGCCAGGAAAGAGCGACAGCTCCACATGCAGCTGTACCCGGGCTGGTCAGCACGAGACAACTATGTAAGTTTTTAAGTTTACAAGTCGTAGGTGAATAGGCGATGTCCAGGATGAGTTGTTTCTTTTGCTTGTACCTAGCCTGAGGGATTACTTCCTTCTTGTCATTTTCTTGTGATATTTATATCTGAGACTTGACAAATTGGCACAACCTAAGCCCAACCTTTTTGCAACAAAGTCTGACCATGTTGTTGTTTGTATGAATCCTCTGTGAATGTTTTGCGCCTCAAGACACTTTGTTCTGACATTCAAGTGCTCAGATTCTCATCGACTTTGTCCAGTTTTTGGGATCAAGCTGACAGGAGTCTTCCACGAGCAGCCTTTTGAGAAATCTGTCTTCCAAAACAGAGGCTCGTCACGATGTCTAGATGTTCACAGAGCAGAGGAAAATAAGACAAAAGATTACAGAAAAAAAGAAGAAAAGAGCAGAAATGAGAAAGAGGAGGGATAATTGTTGAACTGGCCTGCAGTGGCTGTTACAAACCGGAGGGCAGAGACGGAGACAAAAGGCAGAGAAAGAATGAATAAATAAGTAAACACAAAGAAAGAGTCCTATTCTCTGTTTCATGTTTTGGGCATTCTGCAATATAATAACTAAGGTTCCTGTCTGTTTCTATTTTTTCTTTCTATTTTTTTGGCGGCTAACCAACAGGGGAAAAGGAAGAAGAGAAAAAGGGAAAAGCAGCAAGCAGAGAGCAATGGTAAGTGAGCTGCAATTATCTCTCATATTAGAAGAGCCCCATCATGTGTCAGGCAGATGTGACATCTTGCAAGATAAAAGTCAAGCTAGTGTTTTTTTTGTGTGTTATGTTCTTTTTGAGTGTGTGTTATTGTGCCTGGCTTTTTTTTTGTATAGTTATGCTTCCCAATGCAATATTTAAATGGTAGAGTTGCTTGTAATACCCCCCTTTCCCATTTTCCCCTAGCCTTCCCCAGCTAATAACAACTGAATATGCATGACCCCCCCCCCCCCCACACACACACACACTCCTTCTCACCTCCCCTCTTGACACCCCCCCTCCCTCCCCCACTTCCCACTTTGCCCCTTAGCGTTCTGATATTGTGATATGTATGTTTTAAGAATGTGAAGTTGAAGCATTGTGAGAGCCATTAACTTTGCTAGTGTTGTGTGCGTGGCCTCGTTTGATAATGCCTGTGCCCTGCAGATAGACTGCACTACAGTACTGTGTGTGTGTGTGTGTGTGTGTGTGTATGTGCTTGCTGAGCTGCCCTTTGCTTGCTTTTATGCATGCTTTTATATCAACATAAGGAAAATCACTTACATCTTAAAATTAAGGAGGTTTGCTTATTCTATGATTTATCCATTTTTATTCTTCTGATTCATATTCTTCTGATCGTATTGTGAGGAGCGATGGCGACTTGTTCTGTATTTTGCGCTCGTTTGGTGACGGATCTCTTCTTGAAGGCCTCTCTGTCTGTTCTTTTTTTTCAGAACACAGAGAATATTTTCCAAACCCTTGCCTTTCACTCCCTCCGATTACAGGTGCTAATGTCATTTTGAGTTTTAAATTACTAACTTGTTTTTTATTTCTTCTTTTTTTTTTTTATTAATGTATACTTATTTATCAATTGATGTGCAATATTAGGCCAGTTTAAAACAAAATCTAAATATACTCCTTTTTGCTTGTTTTCTGTTTCCTTTTCCTAAAATATTGCTATTGTTTATTTAACTTCAAGCTAGATTATATTTAATTTAGTTAACCTCAATTTACTCATGTTGCTCATTATTCTGGAGCATTTTTCCGTATTTTGGCACAATCACAGTATGCGTGAGGAACTGATTACATTGAGCTAAGTTATCATCGTAGAGTATGACCTGAAGGAAGTGATGTCAGGGTAAACCTCCTTAATCTGTACGCTTCAGTAGCTGCAGTTTCCTATCGGCCAGCACGAGTTTGCCTTACTCCCCCCTTTAGATCCGTCTACTCAGCCAAGACCTGGTCTCAATCACTCCACCACGATCCTCTGCTGTCACTCGGCTCTAATTCTGACAATCGCACAGTTCCTGGTCTGAGCTGGCAGCTTTTCTGCAACAGACGGCCAATGTTGATGGAAAACAGTCAACTGTTTGATGCCAGGTCTAAGGAGTAGATTCCCTCTTCACGTTCCAGCCTTTTTCCCCTGGCTATAGGGCTAACTCCTGACCGTGCTTTTTTTAGTCTGCTACTGCTGCCTAGTTCTACCACCTTTACCGTGTCTTTGAAACCACAGTGCACCGATAACACCTAGCAGTAATTAATCCAACCTGCATTTGCTCCATTTATTACACCCTCTCGACCAAATACGCATCTTATCTTCAGCCTTAACTCCAGTCAGAATTTAGATTACTAAAAGCAATTGTTTCTATATTAATCTCGTGATTTTATAATTTGCATGCCTTTTGATTTCTACTAATGTCTGAAACACACTAATTGTGTTCAGCCCTGTCTTTAAAGTCACACTTGAGAATGGCTTTAGGGGTGTTGTTTTGGGGGGGGGATGATTTCTTGCACAATGAGCCAAGCTTCATAGATTCACTGTTACTTGTTTTTTTTCTCTTTATTTCTCTCCTCCTCTTGATTTCTGTTCCTTATTGTTTTTGGTTTTGGTTCTTTTACTCCTCTCTCTGCTGGCTTCCCCTCACTGTTGCGGCATCAGACCTGAGCGCTCCTAAGAAGTGTCGAGCGCGCTTTGGGCTCGATCAACAGAATAACTGGTGTGGCCCGTGCAGGTGTGTATGGTGTGTGCTTGTACTGGCCAGGGCCAGGTGAAGGCTGTGTAACTTTGCACTGGGACTTCCTCCTTCGCTCTCTGCTGCTGCCGCCTTTTCTTCCTCTTCTCTCCCCTCCCTCTGTCTGTCCTGCCAGGCTATCGTGACCTCTCAGCTTCCTCCAGCCACGCCCTGCCGGTCTATCTCTAGGTTTTTTGGTTTTTTTTACCTCCTGAATGGGTTGAAGGGTGTTAACAGCATATGCTAGAATGTTTGTATGAATGGTGTCTGTGCATGTGTATTGATGAAAAAAAACATTTCCGGGGTTACAGGGGTTTCATTGCAGGATGTACAGTACAATAAACCTCACTGACATTGGTCAGAAATCCTAAACTGGCAGGTCGGGGCTTGGAGGATCTGGAGCCTGATGGCTTGTTCAATATGGAGGACATCCCAGTGTTGCCAGCCTAAACCTAAGCCCTGGCTACATGTTTTTGTCTGTGTAATGACGTGTCCATTTTGTTTTTTCTTTCTTTTCCTTTTGTTATTTGTCTTTGTGTGTATGTTTGTGTCTACCTCTTTGGCTAACAGATGCAAATACCCCAAAGAAGTGTCGTGCCTTGTTCGGGCTTGACCAGCTGAGTTTATGGTGCAAACCATGCAGGTATAACTGCTGTAGAACCAATGCGAGGAAGGCATCCGCAATGAGCAGCTTCTTCTCCTCGATTACTTGCTCAGATATCCCTTCTCAAACGTGTTTCCGTCATCGTGGTAACAGATGGCAAACTCCTCTGCTCCTTTTCCTTAATGAGGAGCTTCCTGCTCTAAATTCCCTCACAGCAATTTTTCCTCACTGAACTCGGTTCAAGCCCAGTGGCAGAAAATGGATTTCTAAATACGATTACTGAATCTCAACAAAAATATCTCGCTGTAATTTGGAATAACGTTTCTTACAATCCGACTTGTCACACGGTTGAAATCCATTTTCTCTCCATGCAAGTGGATAATTCCCTCTCATCGTAACTGTCATGTATGTTCTAATTGGCGTCCTTTGAATAACAATGTTATGCTTACAAATTTAGCCCTGCTTTCTCTGAGGCCCTGCTCAGTGACACTCTTTTCTGTGCCCTCTTCCTCCTCCTTTCTCCACCTCTTCTTCCTCCAAACTCCTCTTCAATAACCCTTACTTAGTCCCTACCTGTTGTCTTTCTGTTCTGACACAAGCAGTCTTTGAATTGGGAATATTTTCATGGTAGGTATTTGTTTCTGCTCAGTAATACCCTTCTCTGTGTCTGGCTTGCACCACACCCTGCCCCACCTCTTTCTTGACACAACCCTTCCAACACCCACCATTGCAACACATTGTTTGTTTCCGCTGCTACACATTTCATTTGTATCGCTTTTTATCATTTAAATGGGTCGGCTTTAAATTTAAATTTTAGTCAGAAGATTTTAGCGTTTTGCTACACTTTGCAAGAGGTCGTTCTTAGCAGTTTATACGCCTATTTCAAAGGGCAGCTCTTAGTTTGTGTCACAAAATGTTACGATGTTCTTTGAAATAAGGAGGGCATCGCAATCACTCAACCTCCGCACAGTCCGCCATTGTTGGCTCTCTTATTTCCCTCCGAGCTGAAACACACATGATCAAAAATACTGAATTATTCCTCACAACAATAACAGCAGATCATTGAGATCAGGAGGCGTTTTAGGAGCCGAGAGGTTAAAAGTTCTCTCTGGGCTCCATTTCCTAAAAGATGCATCTGCTGTAATTTCCCCCGAGACGGAAAAAATCAATAGCGTACACAGGCACATACTATGAATCGATATGTCTGTTAAAAAATGGATATTAGCTCATTTGTTGCGGTTTGACAGACAGTTATTCAGAGCAAGATGTCTATGTAGTGGCAAATGATACCTTTTTACGGCCGGTCGATACTGCGCACCACCCTGCACTACAGTATCAGTGTAGAACGCACTAAAAGCCTTATCCCCACTCTTTTCTAGACTTCTGTAGTGTTCTATACTGTCTGCTGTTGTGTGCCTGTACTGTCGAGCTTATCGGAAACGCATGCTTGTCTTTCACCCGAGCATGCGATCAAGGTTCCGTGAGGTTTCTTTCTACGTGATTTGTTGACGTCCCTCTTCCTTCTCATTATCGGTAGTCTGCTCTCTTTGTTTGTTTTCATGTAGACTATTTTCCCCCTTAAAGAATTACAGAAAAAAGGGTTTGATTTGACAACCTTAATTAAACATTAGATCAGCCTCATATGTTCCAAAGGCCCCACTCTTTCTTTTATTAAACACCTCAGTCTTCTTTTTACCTACTCTCTGTCCCTGTGAGTCTTAAATACTAATACTTCATGGCCTTCAGGCATCCTTGTGATAGAATGGAGAGCCGAGAGAGGGGTCACTGCCAGGGTCAGGGTAAAGATGAGGTGGGCAGAGATTCCCCCTTAACCAAATCTGAACACAGCCTTCGCAGCAGAGTCACAATGCAACAATCCCCTACCCTCCCATCTCCCCTCCCCTCCCCCTCCCATGCTCGTTCGTCGGGTTCCACTGAGCGTAACGGGTCTGGCCCCGGGACTCAGCAGGCAGGGGGAGGGTCCCGACCTCAGGCAGGAATGCAAACATGATGCCTTGACCCCCCTCGCGCACACACACACACACACACTTGTGTCTGTGGGGCAGATGCGGAGTAGTGTGGATCTTGTTGACTTTTTGCCTCGTATCCAAACTCTGTCCCCTCAGGAGAAGAGAGAGTAGGGCCAGATCGAGGTAGACGAGTGAGACAGGTCCAGTAACCTTGTGTTGCTGGAGAGAACAGGCTGATCCCCCCAGCTGTAGCTCTGCCTGTAAGAAAGGCTGGGTTTACGTCCAGAGAGCAACCATTACTACATCTAATCTACTCTCATCATCGCCATCATCATCATCATCTCCGTCTGTGCTTTTCATTTCCCAGCTACTTCACCTGTGATCTCTCCTTGATGTCTGTCCTGTCTGATGGTTTAGTATTTGGAAATTGACTGTCATTTCTACCACCTTTTGGTCTTAGTACGAGCTCTTTAAATGCACCTGCAAAATGTGATCTGTCATGTCAAACCAGTTTCAAATAATGATTTTTCTAAATTTAAAATATGGTGACGGTGCATTTAAGTCGGCAACGGTTCTAAGAGGCGATGCAGTTTGAAGATGCGATGCTAAACGATGCTCTCTTTCTCTCGCTTTGTCCCTCAGGAGAAAAAAAAAGTGCATTCGCTACATCCAAGGTGAAGGCAGCTGTGCCAGTCCTCCCTCTACGGACGGAAGCTTACTAGACTCCCCCCCCTCCTCCCCCTCCTCAGTGGTTCCCTCCCCCTCCTCAAAAGAGTCCAAACCTCAGACTGAACAAATGCAACCTCTCTCACTGACTATGAAACCGGCCCACCAGCCACTCCACCACCCGCACCTCCTGGCTGGGCCTCCACCGCCATCTTTGGTTCAGCTGGAAAACTCTGCTGCAGCTAGGAAAACGCCCGGCGCCTCCTCCCACAACGGAGCCCTGGAGCGCGGTGACGTCACATCCTCGCGGCAGCCGGGCTCTTCTGTGGCGTCCTCAATGGCCCGGCCCTCAGCATTGCTGTGTCATTCCCACTCGCTCCTCTCCTCCACGGCCCCTCAGCCTCTGTCGCTAGTGACCAAGTCTATAGAATAGTCTACCTTATTCTTCTCCTCTTTTCTATCTCTGCACACACAGATATACACACACACACACACTCACTCACACACACCTTTCTAGGCCCTCTCTCTGCTATATTTCACTCGCTGTCGGTTCATTTCTCTTTATGTTTCTGTGCCACAAGGCTTTGAAATTTAGTTTATGTTTTATTAAAGTTCATTGGTCAATATTTGACCCGTCATTATCAAAAAAAAAAAAGAATCGAATTATTATAAAGAAATGATACAATGAGCTGTAGTATAGCTTTGTGAATCTGCCAAAATTTTTATGGATTTTCTTTTGTCTTTTTTGTAGTGTTAAAACAGTGCAAACAGAAAAATGATCTAGTTCAACTTCAAAATGTTTAAAAGACGGATATAAAAAGGTAGGCTAGATTATTCAATGAGCCCTTTTCTTGAAAGAGTTGGTTCTCCTTCTTTATTTGTATTAAATACGAGCTTGCGAACCAATCATTTGACATCTGTTCAAACTCTAGGAGGGCATGAGGCTAGCGGCGACACCTCTTCGAGGAACAACTTTAATTGTGATGTTACTTGTTCTTGTTTAAATGTACAGAATAATGGGGAGGGGGGATTACTGTGTTAAATATGCATTCTTCCACTGCGTTGTCTTTTTTCTTTGTTGTTTACCTTTGGGGTGGAGTCCGGCAAGTTGGGTGGGCTTGAGGGGAGGTCGGGGTGGGAGGGTTGAGGGTTATTAAATTCAAAATGTCACAACGCTAGGACCAGTAGTATTTATTGCTTTAGAGATTGCTTGTTGTATCTTGTACGTGTCTCTTTTTGACTTTTTTTTTTTCTTAATACATTGTACAAATATTTTTTCTTAAGGTAAGCGACTTATATATGAATGATCATTTTTACGAGGAGGTTTTAAAAGGCAAAATCTTTTGTTATTGATTTCTTTCCTCACTGAAAACCTGGATTCCACTCAGTGTATTGTGTAGATCTCATGAACAGAAGTATGCACAACTTCATTTCAAGAAATGCGTCTATAAGCCATTTTACAAAAAAAGAAGAAAAGAAAACTTGAAACAAGACCTTGGGTACCGTGTCTTCAGTAGTTGGAAAAGTGTCTAAAGCCCTTCTTTTTTATTGCACAGTCACATCTCTCAGACTGTAGATTCGTGTACAGATTTTCCGTGCCAAATTTTGTGATAATTTCCTCTGCCCCTCTAACCACGCTGTAGGGATCCTTTTTATTTTTGTCGTTTTTTAAAATTTCATTTCGATACCATTCTTTGCTGTGACGTTACATAGATTGCTATGTATGTAGTATAAATGTTGCTATAACAAATGTGTTTGGTAGCAAACTGTCAAATATTAAAATTTAAACTTAATGAAAAGGCGGACATCATACTGTATAAACCCACAAGGGCCAAATTATGTATATTAGGAAGTTCATAAAAAAACTATGAAATACAAAAAAATACACAAACTGCCACTTTTAAGTACACTACTACATATAGGTAGATAGAAAAAATAGGCATGTTGATGTTGCAAGAGGCTGTAAAAAAAGCTACAAGAGAATCATCCACTCGGTGCCATTGTAGTTGACATGACGCGACTGTAATCTGTCGATTTCTTCTCTGGTTTATTAAGATGCTAATGATAAATAGTTTGAATGTTTCCTTAACGGCTGTGATGTTCCTGTTCTATTTTATGCTCTTATCTTTTTGTTTGTTTGTTTTTCCTGTTATTTTAAATGGTTCCAAAACCATGTTTTTTTGTAATGAATAAATGTTTATGCTGTACAGTCTCTGTAGCATGCAGTTCTGTATTAATAAAAGCAACTTAGTATGTGCACATTTGTGTCTTCCTTTTTATTTTGGGAAATTCACCGGCAAGTTCCGCGACCTGAGAAACTGTTGAAACAAGTGGCGCTTAGTCAGCTACAGTTGTCCTCTACGGTTCATAACAGGGAGTCACCAGAGAATACCACAACAATTAAGATACCTCGAGTCTTAGTCTAATAGAGAATCATGCCATTATGATTAAACATTACAAATACTTTATCAGGTTTCATGAAATGCAATTAGCTGCAACTATATTCAAACCCAGCAACCTTGTAAACAGAGTGCACACCGTGTTACTTGTGTAAGCACCAACAGATAGTAAGAAACGATCAATGAGGTCGTTGTCTAATTGTCAAAAATGTAATGCAAAAAGTTAAGACCGATAGTTCAGCTCAAGTAACTGATTCCACAAATTCCACTGTTTTCACTACTTTTTGTTTGCACACATGAAAACTGAACACCATGCTTCATACAAGCTATGCTACGTGCAGCTTTCAGCCAATTGAACACTCAGTATTTCACTCAAGGATCAGGAGTTGTGAGCAAGTGATTGAAGACCGCAGATCCTCATCAATTTCCCTTTTATTGGTTATTTTAAAGACAAACCTTTTTCATGGTGTGAATGTTTACTCACTGACGTCTGGGATTTTTAAACTGAACATTGACTATCAGTTGAAAGAGAACACATGTCCTCTTTTGCACAAGGCCATCCATACAGACAGAGAAGGAGGATCATGATCAGTATTTGGTACTCTTTGTCAGGTATGAATAAAAAAGTATGAAGCACAGGCAAATTAGCTGTGTTGTGCTAAATGCACAGTACATATGTGAAAGTGGTCTGGGATCGATTCAGCAACTTGCTGATGAACACTTAGACAAGTCAACATGGCTTGTATATTAGTGTCTGTGTGTATTTTGGACATCAACACATGCAGCACCGCTGTCAATAGGTTGTTGGATGTTTTATCGTAGTTGTGATTTCATTGTGCTATGAGAGTTCTATCAGTAGTTATGTCAGGAATTTTGTGCACAAATTTTCCGTATTACATCGCAGTCGAAGACGCCTTGTTCGGATCGGTCTCCACATTCATGATGTTCTCAATGGATCAAGAAAACAGTCTTTTTGAGTGTACATGCTGGCAAGTGAGTGCAACATGTTTATGGATTCACTCCGTACGCTGAGGAGAGCAGCATTGATTTATTTTCAGTAACTTATTAAGTTTGCTTAAGTCTACAAAGTATCCAAGCGAACAACAAACAACAGTATTAAAGTGTAGCTGAAATACTGCGTGCGTGTTGTACTTGAACAGGGTCACAATGTACAGACCGTCCTCTGGTGAATACAAAGCAAAGACGAACTAAAACTAGGGGGATGGGTTCAGCTGTCATCAAGCAAAGGCGGGACTCTTCTTTGTTCCCTTTGAGTGTACACAATATGCACATTTAATGCATTTGTGTGGGCTATACCCTTGAACTATAAACCATGAGACTAGCAACATACAAACACAGGAGCGTCCGTGACGGTTCTAATTTATTTCAAGAAGCAGGAACGGCATTGTATACCTGAGTAAAGAAATTGACATTTTTTTGATGTCAGTGTGGCATGGAGGAACAATGTTGAAGGCCATCGCTGCAGCAAGCATACAAATCACAAAACATTGCAGAACATGTCCTCTAGGTTACAAAAAAACGTGGATGTTATTTAAAAAAAAGAGATGTATACCCCTGACCCTGATCACGGTAGTAGAACTAAATTGAAAGGTTGAAGGAATGGCCGCAGCGAAACATCTACAATCTCCTTTGCTGGAGATGAAAATGCCACATATTTTCCACAACAGCTTCACGTTCACAGATGTACGTTGTCCTTCATAGTGACATTCCTCTCTCCACCCCAATTAGGTGTATTATGAGTTTAAAAGAAAAGAGGATAGAGGGTTACAGTTTGTGAAAGGAGTTCTCGAAACGCTCTTGAAGCAAAAAAAACGTAAGTGCCTGAATTGCATGGATAGCTCAAAAGAACATATTAAAACCAACTCCAATGCATTGAGACTGCCGTGACCCTCATCAGGGAGGGAGAACATCCCGATTTACTCCTCCTGCCCTTTGATACGCTGCTCGCTAAAGAGGACCATTGCTCGGCCAACAACATTCATCGTTTCGAAAAGCACTTCGGTTATTGTTTGAGAATTGGAATACTGAGCCAGTGCCCTGTTTGTGCTGCTCTTGACCATATCTCATGATCTCAAGATTTAACTTCTGTGTCCAAGGATGAACTGGGGGGGGGGGGTCAATTGATTTCTTTGCAGGATTGTCGGAAAAAAACACAGAGTTAAAAGATTCTTCGGTCATGTCAATACTTATTATAAGTTTGCACTTTGGAGAAGAGGGTGAGAAAAAGGACATCAACAAAGGGGTGATAGTAAAAAATAAAAGATACAGTAAAGCAAGGTCTGAGTGTTTCCAAGTATGTGCTGTTTTCTCAAACAGTGGTGTGAAAAAAAGAAGTTTAATCAGAGAGCCGTGGAGCAGGTAAAAGGCCTTTTGGAATTGTTTTAGAAAGTGCTTTTAGGAGACAGAGTACAGCCCACATTATCAGAGTCGCAGCCTAACAACTGACGCGCAAAGTGCAGGATCTGGCCAATTTGTGTTTTTTGTAAACGGAATTACATTTAGGATTATCTGTTGCTACATGTTTGCAATATGTTTCTATTTGATCTGTTTGGGTTGAAAAGAAAAAAAACAAATGTAGCTCTTAATTAGCTCTTGAGTAAACACATAAAAGAACTCTTGGATGGCAGGAGCCTGTAAAGGAAAATCATTTAGCCTTTAGGATTGATAGTGGTTACTTATTCTCATATTTCATTATTTTTGATGGTAAAAATAACACAAGATACATTTTTAGCGATTTGAATACAGACCAATGAGTAACTTGTTGACTGAATACCCTCCTTAAATCAGCCCACTCTACAATTGTCCTCTAACCTTGAAGAACAAAATGATGAACATGAAAGGTGGGCATTTTGAGAGATTTTCTCTTTCCTCCAATATGAAAGAGTCTCTTTTATCTAAGAAATAACTAAGGGCTCCCACACAAGGGGCATTTTGGTACAATTTGGTGCACAATACCTTCCCTCAAGGACTATCCTGTGGCGTGCCAGTAACGAGGCCATCTTTAATCAGAACTATTTTGGACCTATTATGGCCATATTGTGTGTATTGCACTACAATAGATTGTGGGAAGAGGGACAATGAAAGCAGCGTTTGAGTACACAGAGGAGAGGAATAAGCAACAGAGAGTGAAGGGTCATTCCATCAGAGAAACTTTCAGCAATTCAGACAACAACACGGAGAGCCTTTTCCAGCTTCAGTAGAGTCAATGCTAACTATAACTATAACTCAGTCAGGAACACTGTCGTCGTAGATATTTATCCATTTATTGCAACAAATGGAAATACAGTTATACTTGGCGCTGGCGGCTCCGCTCTTAAAATGCTCCCTGGATTAGCCAAGCAGCTATCAAGCCAAAACAGTGAGCACCGTGCATAAATCCCCCCGGGTATACAGGAATGAGCCCAAAGTAAGACTTCGAATACCATTACAACCAATCCTATGCGAGATGGACTCAAGCCTGGGGTGGAGGAGGCAAAGCTTTGCCTGCAGCACGGTCTGTAACTGCATTGGTGTAAAAAGGATCAGTGAGGAGAGAAGTCATATTTAAATGGACCGCCTTGAGGTGAAAGTGGGCCGTGATTGGTGTGTGACTGATTAGAAACAATGATTCCATCAGCTGGCTGTTAGCTGGTTACAGCTGGGGGGGGGGGGGGGGGGGTAAGACCTCTGTGTCCTGCATGAACTAACGCGATGCTTCATCTATAAATTCTATAAAGGTACATTATTGTTTAATGCTTTCTACTTTAACTGTCAGAGGGGTTACATGTTACGACAGATACTTTTATTCGTCACACACTTGCAGATATGCGCCTTCAATGGATGACATCTGGGAAGAAGCAGACCGTTATACAGTCCACCTGAGAAAACGCCTTCTCTGTGCTGAAGCTCTGAGGTAGAAAAATTCTCTAATTGCCAGCTGCAATATATTTAATTTAAATATGTTTAATTTAAATTAAACTGGCCTGTTTAGATTCATTATGAACTGAAAATTCTTGACTTGGACATTCAGACATCGGTCAGTGTGATTTACATTTCCCAAGAATAAAATTGTCTCTGACGTCAAGAACATCAGAATACCTGAAGCTGAAATCACAGACCATTCAAGGAGCTCATTTCTCTTCTTTGTTGGTTCTTGTCAGTATAGTGTGTCAAAAAAAGTCAAAAAGTCACAGTATAGTACGTTGAAAAAGTCATGGTATAGTTTGTTGAAAAAAGTCATAGTATAGTATGCCATACAAACGTCATATAAAATGGCACAGTATAGCTTGTCGTACAAATATCACAGAAAATGTCAAAGTACATTATGACATAATAAATCTCATTAAAATGTCAAATCACCAGCCATGCAGAGAAGATGAGACTGAAGATACATTTGGAAAGCCAGAAACTTTGACAAGTCATCAGGAGGCCACTGACCATAAGGTCACCCTATCAATGAACTACAGCAATATACTGTTAAGTGTACTTACAGTCTGATCATATTCTAATGCCTCATCTGCATCTCAACTAAGAAGTGCTTCATATGGGGACTTGGTCGTGATTACAGAACAAAAATAACTTGAGAGGCCAAGACTAAGAGAGTGAGTCAGGAGAGGTGCTGCATATATACAGGTGTTATGTGTATGTGCTGCTGTCTGAATGTAGGCTTGTGTGTCACCTTCCCAGCACAAGTGCCCTAGTCCCTAATGATGGCGGTGTGCAGCGAGCTAACTACCCTCACAGTGGAGCGAGCCCCCAGGCTAGTGCCACATCTCTCCATCAAGGCCTGCCTTCATCCCGCTTTACACTGGGCCCTTTCCAAAGACACACACACACACACACACACAGGGAGAGAGAGCC